ATACAATTTAGATGCAATCAAGGAATATTAAGCCTCCTGTTCTATGGTAATTGCATATCGGAACAAATAAGTTTATATTTTACTATTGAAAAAAAAATAGTGCTTAGTCTTATATATCATAACAGTAAATCAAACTTGATTAAAAAAAAGTTTTAAACTTTTGCTAAATTGTGGTTAAATGAACTGATAAGTTTTCTTACGTCAGCAAAGAACAACTAAGATAAAACACTATATTTATTAACTATATTTACAGTTAATTGATTTAACTTATTTCCTCGTAAAATATGGCATAGAGTGTTTGGTAGATGAATGTTTTTCTAGATCCTTTGGGACCTTCAAAGAAATATAAAACTGGAATTTCTAATGGCCTTATGCTCCTCATTGAGATATCAGTTAGCAGTTTTTCCGTTGGACTGCTCCTCTTGGATGTTAGTTGTAGAATTTTTTAGTTGGCAGATGAAAAGTTTTACAGTTTCTTATGTGTTTGCTGCAGCGTGAGGTTGTAGGCCATTACACCTGATGGTGCGTGTATATTGTCTAGTGAATTCTTCGCTAGGTCCGACTTTGAAGATGCTCTATGGTTCCGTATGTTAGTGGTAGAGAAAAATGTGCATACAATTGCGCAACTATATTATGTTAATTGTATTGGCATCAGTTATCTGGCAGCTTTGATCTGATCATTCAGTCTTTAAATGCCAAGTGGAGGTTTTTGACAGCTTTCTGAAAGGAGAGGCAAAGTATTCCTACCGTTCGAAGGTTCTCGAAGGAGTGAGGGTAGGCCTATCTAACGTGGAGAAGTAGTACTTGAAGATAACATCTTCGATATTGTTGGAATTGACAATGAATATTCGTACAATTTTGTAATTTTGTGTAATTCTTGGACGTTCCACTGATTGTTGGACGTCAAGAATTGTTAACAGACGGAGTTAGTTGGTCGTCATGGATAAAGTAAACACTGCAAACCTTGTAAAAATCCAAACGGTTGGGGAAAGTAAATATAAATCCACGAATATTGTAACAGAACCGGTATGGATCATTAAAATTAACAATTTATGTTGCTGACCCAAAAGTAAACATTATTTAACATTACTTAAATGGAACTGTCAAACAATATGTTAATGTTATTAGTACAGTATAGCATTTAGGGCAGTTACGCAATTTGTTTATGTTTATGATCCATACCTGTTCTGTTCTAATATTCAACAATAAATCCAAGTTTTGATAATTTAATTAATCTTATAAAAAAATAGACATGATCTTATAGTTTAATAAATGTTTTGAGTTGAAATTAAGTAAGGAGTATATTTCATCACTAGGGCCTAAAGTGACTATTTCGACCCGAGTTCAAGTTTTACGATCGAGGTGTAGCTGAGGTCGGAAAATTAGCTAGGGTTGAAAAAGACACTTTTTGCCCATGTGTTTTTGAATTATATTTTTTGTCGAACAAACTACGTTACAAAACTAAAGTAATTGTCATATACGGATAACCTCTCAAAACTACTCTAACTTGTTTTCAAAAATTAATTTGCTATTGGTAAAAAGCAGCTGTTTAGTAAGGGATTCAATCATTTAGTCTATTGCGATTGGGTTAGTGTACATTGTACTATCGATATATCAAACTATTTACAATAAGGCAACAATTAACTATATATCAATGAAACAATCAACGCATACTTTTGATACATGGACTATTGTTTTCAATCGAAATTTACAACTGTGTTGACATCAGCTGATTTTTATTCCTTAGGGGCTAAAACCGCTTTCTACTCCTTAGAGAGTAAAAATGCTGCTCTATACCTGCAACGCATGCATTAAAAACGTCTTTTTTTGTTTGCGGAAAAAACGGAAGTTGTTTGCGCGTTAAGTAAAATAATACAAAACTTGATTTGATGTAAGATACCCCAAAACACATAAAACTTACACAATACAAAACGGAATGACTAGTATTTTCACTAATTCAAATATATTTATGAGTATATTAACAAATAAAGTAATTTGCTGCCGAAAGAACAAAATAAAACTTAAATGTTGGGTAAAAATGTATTTAATATGCAAATTTTAAGTCATAAATTGCATTCTGGAATAGAAAATTTAAATTTTTTATTCTTATATATACGCGAAGGCGATTTCTACAAAATATTACTCCTCCGTTAATAATGGACAGACTTTTACAAACGATGTATCAAAATTAAGTATTTTTTGTGTAGACACCGCCTTTCATCAATTCCTGTAATAAAAGTCTTCGAGCTTTGCCCCACTGGTCATCAAAATCCCAATGTATTTCTTGTGATTACAGCTGTTCATAGTTTAAACACACAAGAGTATTCATTTTCAGAGTGAGTTCATTTTCAGTTTCGATAACTGAAGTGGAGTGAGCGTTCGTTTTCAGAGTGAGTTCGTTTCCAGCTTCGATAACTCGAGTGGAGTGATTGATTACATTATATTTGAGTTCACTCTTTTAAGTCATCGGATATCGTGACTTTTATTTGTTTTGAAATATGACGCCTGTAATACTTTGCGATTGCTCGAATTCAAGCGCCAGGTACACTAGTCCTTATATATAATACGTGAAGGCGACTTCTACAAAACACTACTCCTCCGTTAATAATGGACGGATTTTTACAAACCATGTGTCAAAATTAAGTATTTTTTTGATGACGCCCCCTTTCACCAATTCCTGTAATAAAAGTCCTCGGGCTTTGCCCCACAGGCCATTAAAATCCCAATGTATTTCTTATGAAGAAAAGATTTTGTTTACTTAATCAGAGGAATAACTTTTATTCATTACATCTGTTCGTTTTTAACACATGATTCACACAAAAGCGTTAGTTTTCAGTTTCGATAACTGGTGTGGAGTGATTGATTACATTATCATTAAGTTGAAACTTTTAAGTCATCAGAAATTATGACTGTTATTCGTTTTGAAATTACACCTGTAATGCTTTGCAATTGCTCGATTTCGAGCAATAGGTGCACTAGTATTTTATATTTGTTGTTCTACAGCTCATCAAAGCATTTTATTTCATTTTAAAAAGCTCATAATTTATTATACTGTCTTTAGCAAAAAAAAAAAAATACTCTAGGGTACTAAATGGTATTATAAAAACTCAAATCATTGCATTAAGTGTGCTTATTACTTTGTAAGTTAATATATAGTAGTTTACGCAAGATCACGTAAGGTCTTTAAGACATGAGTATAAAATTTAAGGTACGAGCCTTTAAAACTTCTACGAGTGTCTTAAAAGCAAACTACGCGGGTTGCATACACTCCTTTACCTACTATTAAAAAAGGTTCAAATACCTGCTATTAAGCAATCCAAATTTGTTGTTAGAACAACTAGTTTCGGTGTCTGTGTGACACCATCATCAGGCTGCACAAGGACAGTTTTCTTTCTTCATACGAAGAGCGTCATATTTACACGAAAAATAAATAAACATTTACAGACGACACAAACACGAACACGAGACATTTATGGTAACTGATCAGTTAAGAAAACAGACGACGCTAACCCGGCGGAGTTTGAGTCCAGCGGAATATGACGCTCTTCGTATGAAGAAAGAAAACTGTCCTTGTGCAGCCTGATGATGGTGTCACACAGACACCGAAACTAGTTGTTCTAACAACAAATTTGGATTGCTTAATAGCAGGTATTTGAACCTTTTTTAATATTATTTGGCAATCCGGAGGCTAACAACTACAATCCTTTACCTACAACCGTTTTTAATTACTGAAAATCACTACCCATAACATCTAATAGAGGTTATGTTTCCATATATAACCTCTCATTGCCACTGATTGTGATGCAACGACTTATTGTCCCAAACACTCGCTCATTGTTTAATCAATTAAATTGGTCTTAACAGCTGATAAGTTGACGTTCGAAGCATTACAATTTTACTTCTTTTCTCTTAATCCTTGAACCTCATTTGTCCAAAATTGTACTGTAAATTAAAAAAAAAAAAAAAAAAAAAACAATAGGCCTACTGTTAAGTAAGTAAGCAATACTGTAATGTGAATCTTCAATTCTAAGAACTGAATTGAAAAGGCTTGTTTAAAAAACTGGCCATAGGTAAAAACACTAAACTGAAAAAGTTTAGTAATGAACAGTTTTACAGTAAACTTTATTTTACATTTAGATCTTCGTAACATCAGCTGATAGGTACACCCACGTACCTCCATGTTCTGACAAAAATCAAAAGTAGTATGTTCCAATAACCAGAACCTCAATAAACCAAGTATTACGTAGTTCATCGAAAGAAGTGGATAGCAAACTTTAAGCCGCTTTTACAGCAAAATTTCAAAACAAAAAGTTGCAAATTTTTATTGCAGACAGCAGTTGCAAACAGTAGTTTCAAATTAAAGTTTGCAATTTTTATTTCATGGTTATATTTGCATGTTTCATGAAAATGTTTGAAACACTTTCGACGTTGATTATGACTCTCCTATGCTCTGGTTCTTGGGATCAGACCTTCCGAGGATGTCAAGTGTCGAGGATGTCATTTTGAATAAAACGTCATTCCATGCGTAGTTTTTCATGTTTTTATTTTTGTAATCGGAAATAGTTGTGTTCCAAGTTTGGTTCCACAGGACTTGCCTAGTATTTAAAAGTTTTAAAATGTAGGTACGTGTTAAATACCATTGAATCGGTGGAATAATTCAATAACTTGTGTAACTGTACTCAGTGGTCTTTATTAGATTTAATTATGTTCAATAACGATCCAGAGGCTGTATCTCCAAAAGATAATTTAAAGTTACTAATTTACACGTAAGTTAGTCATATTTTAATATTATAAATCTTGGTTTGGGTTTCTTATCTTTAACATTTGGTATCTTACTTTGATTTCCCATGGCGACTTTATGTGGTTTTATAAGAAATGGTACTTTCTTCCAATGGTGGTGTTTTGTACAGTAGTTTTTCATGGTGATGCTTGTTAGTTTTAATTCCTAGCAAGTTAGTCTATTTCCTAGAACAAAATAGTTTATCTAAAATGTTTTCCAGTAGGTGAGAAATGAGTGATGATTCGGATAACACAAATAATACTGAAAAAAGATGCAAAAGACCACTAAAAGCTGCAAGTTCTTCAGACAGCTCGGATAGTAGTAGTCCGTTGGCTGTCACCAAGCGCTCACGGAAACAGCTTGTAAGTTATTTGATAATCAAGCTGGTGATCGTAACAAGGTAATGGTATCATGTTTAATTAATGGGAAACAAACTATTCCTTTGGAAATATTTGGAACAGAGTGTCATAAGTGAGGTAACTTAGTTGAGTAATAGTTCACGGTGTTTGTAGCTATGTTGCTTACTTCATGGTTATTTGTTATTTGTTTGTTAATTTTTATAATTTTAAATTTTTATAATAACTAGTTTATTTTTTCTCTTAGAATTGACACAAAGACTATGATATAGGTTATACATAATATCATCATCAATCCACTATGAATACCATTGAATAGTTTTGGATCATGATTGCTCCATTTTGTCAGGTTATTTGTAGCAAAAAGCAGGTCTGTAACCTGCTGAGTGTTTGGTTTCTGGATTTTAATGTTCATTTGTCAGGACACACAATTATTTCGTCCAATTTTGGATTTAATGCTTATGTGGCTCTAGCAAAGTTTAATTTGTTGTTTGTTGTGATGACTCCTTGGCATCTTTTTTATTTGTAAACAGAGCAACAATGTTCTGAAACTATACTTTATTCCACATTCACCAAGTATTACATAGCATCCATGTATTTAAAAAAATAGCAGTTTTGGCGATCTAGCCATCCAAAAAATATTAGGCCAGCGAATCACTCCTTGAATTTTTCTCATGATTTTTTTACTTTGATCCTAGTTTTAACTTTTTAAGTCAAAATCCAAATTGTTGTCAAAATACTAATGTATAATAATGCTTAAAAGTTGTCAAATAAGTCAAATATTCTTTAGCACCTACACAATGGCCGCATTTTAGTTGGCCCTACCCGCATTACAATAAACTTGATGTTTCCAGCAATGTTAATAGCATGACTATTCCCCATCAAAGTCATACTGCATGGTGAATGTGGAATGGAGTAATCTAGGAGTGGATCGACGATGGCCATAATAACTGGATTAGTCTGTAGGACCGTACTCCCTATTTTTCTGCAGGACTATATTTATGATTAACAGGGATTATTTCAATGGAATGAGATCCAAGAATAGCGGATTGTACCAGACATTCTGCTATTCTCCTTAAATTTACGACTTTTTACCCATGGATATGTTAACACACATGGTAAATCTAAAATATACTGCTAAGCTGTGAGAAAAACTGCCTAGTTTTTTTCTGCTTTGAATGAAATCCAGTACAGTTTCTTTTATACTATAAGCTATATTAAAATCCAACATTAAGTTTGAATCCTTAAGTTGAAATTAGCTAAATATAATAACCAACACTAGAAGTAGGAGTGACACTAAAAAGTTTTTTCTGTAGGATTAAACTTGTGTCATGCTTTACCATACTGCCTCTCAGCCAGAAACTATAGCCAACAATTGTAATGCATTTTGTAACCATGTCCTATACAGGGTGAGTTTCTACTGACTGTGTTAACTTCGCCAGTGGGTTCTACTCACTAAAAGGAACAAAAAAGTTCCTATAAACCCATGTCCGATTTTCGACCGTTTGGCTGTTTTGGGGGATTTTGTGTTTTTCTTATTTTATTAGACTTTGCTCCACAATTTATGTAATAAAAACTTAACCAATTACTTTAGAGAGTTATAGTTAAAATCATTGGAAAGAGTATTAAATTTGCTACAAATCAAAGGTTTCATTCAACAATTATACCATTACATAGTCCACGTTATAACCAAAATAAAGTAAAAATGTCATTAAATTAATTAATTACGATAATTTTCATGGGCCTCCTTTGATACATAAACCTGCATTTATGCAATGTTGAAATGCATAAAAAACTTGGCATTTTAATAATCTTTCAAATGATATGCTATTCAATACTATTATTGATATAAACCAGTGAGAAATTACTAATAAACTACAATAAAACACGGTTTACAGATTTTGTTTTTGCACAGTTTTACTGTTAATAATAATTACTGTATACTCCATGATGTATTTTATTGAACTATCTGATAAAATTTGTACATTATTTTAACTTTTAAATATTTATTAAAATTATCTGAATTAATAAAATGTATAAGCTCAAGGTTTTTTACATTTTCAAAGATGTAGTGTGTTTGATTCTTAAATGCTGTGTAATTAGTTTTACCTTGTGCTTGATTAAGTCAGCTTTTATTGATTTGTCATCTATAGCTAGATAACTCAGCTACTTGAACATGCCTTGTTGAGTAATTTGCTGTTTTAACTATATATTTCCAAGTCAATTAAGAGTTTTTCAACATTTATTAAAATATGGAGCCTTTTACCAATCAAGATTATGCCAACATGATGAATACAGTAATTATTATTAACAGTAAAACTGTGCAAAAACAAAATCTGTAAACCGTGTTTTATTGTAGTTTATTAGTAATTTCTCACTGGTTTATATCAATAATAGTATTGAATAGCATATCATTTGAAAGATTATTAAAATGCCAAGTTTTTTATGCATTTCAACATTGCATAAATGCAGGTTTATGTATCAAAGGAGGCTCATGAAAGTTATCGTAATTAATTAATTTAATGACATTTTTACTTTATTTTGGATATAACGTGGACTATGTAATGGTATAATTGTTTAATGAAACCTTTGATTTATAGCAAATTTAATACTCTTTCCAATGATTTTAACTATAACTCTCTAAAGTAATTGGTTAAGTTTTTATTACATAAATTGTGGAGCAAAGTCTAATAAAATAAGAAAAACACAAAATCCCCCAAAACAGCCAAACGGTCGAAAATCGGACATGGGTTTATAGGAACTTTTTTGTTCCTTTTAGTGAGTAGAACCCACTGGCGAAGTTAACACAGTCAGTAGAAACTCCCCCTGTATTTATGTGTGTTTAACTGTGTGAAAAAATCAATCATTAATTGACTAACATGCCATATCTATGGCCCCCTGCTAATGCCGGGTTTTCCTAGATGCGGAAGAGGAGCGTGGAGGGCGGAAAAGCGATAAACATGGCGTTTAACTCTGCTTTTAGGAAAACAGTAACATTTAATTACCTAAGACAAGGGGAGTCCTCTCTCTGCGCCCCGCTTCCGCGCTTAGGAAAACCCAGCTTTAGCCTAATAGAACTACAGTAATCCCTCATTAATGCAGACCTAGCTTAATTCTGGACAGCCATTTGATGTCAGTTTATAAAATTGTACAGCTAAGATAGTAATGCATTATTGTAAATAACACAATTTTGAATTCAGAATATATTATTCAAACTTTTTTTGTAATAATGACATAAAATCATTTAATCCAAACTTTCATTTTTCCTAATTATTTGGATGCCTTGGAATCCTAATTAGTGCTGGCCAATGAAGATATACCGAATTGCATTGTTTTATATAGTAAAATATTTATATCATTCATATTATATAAGCCTATTTCACCTTACTCGTCTAATGTTAGCGGTTAGTTAATTAAACCCTCTAATTCAGGGACAGTGATGTTCTGAATTTCAACACTTATAATTAAGTCTCTGAGAGATTATCAAAAGATTAACTGGGAAGAAATTATAATGTTTTAACTTTAGAAGCTGCGATTAAAGATAAGTAGTGTCAGTTATAAAGGGAGTACCATCCGTTTTAAATATTAGTAAGTGTTGGTCTTTCTCAGAGGATTGTTCTCGTTAAACAAAATTCAAACTTTCTCCTTCATTAACAAGGTAGCAAGATTGTCTGGAAGGATAATTTTCGTCTCGATTTTCCAGGCAATTGAAAGTGAATCAGAAGCTAGTCCATTGAAGGGCAGTGATAACTCTTCTCCTTTAGCCCCGAGGCTAAATCGTCGAAGGAGAGTTCCAGTAAGTTTATAGCTTCAAAATGGTGGTTGATCTTCACTTCATTAGGCTCTATTAAAGTACAGTGGACACTATCTTAACCAATTTCCAGTGACTGTGACATATATTGCATATTCTTAAGATTAATTAACTTTTATTGACTGCTTAAAATTACCCCTTGATATAATCAACCCTTTGAGATGTGTATACTTTGAAGAAAAGTACTACTTTGAACATATTTTGGCATACTTTTGGTTCACTGTTAAAGTAATAAAGGCCTAATGTACCTATGTGTTTAAAAAATGTTAATGTATAGATTAAAAATTTGAAGAAATCAGAAATTTAAATCACAATAAAACAATAGACAAAGTGTTGCTATAATAGTCTTACAAGTTAATATGGACCCAAGGATTAGACCTGTGCCCCAAGCCCAGCTTTTGTTCACAGGACAGAGACTACTGCTTCCTTATTACAAGAATTAAGATGTTTGTATATTTAATCTCCGTACTTGTTGTGAATAAAAATATCAAAACATTGATTGATTTGTGTAAAATTTGGTATCAAATTAACTGAAATTAAATATAAAAAAATTCCAATATTGCTTGATTGGTTTTTATCTGTACAGTACAACCCCGCTAATCCTACGGGACCTATGGTTCTGGCCAGAGTCAGAACAGTGAAAAGATCAGATTATACAAGGAGCATATTAAATGGCCAAATTAATTGAGTAACTGACATTAATTGATCGCACACGATCGTGGAAAACAATGGTAATGTTACCGTGATTGCGGCAGAAATTCAATAGTTTGCCTTGATCACGGGAGATGACGATGTCTCCTTTACTGCAGGAGATATTCAAGAGTTTGCAACGATCGCAGAAAACAACCTTAGTTTCCATAATCGTAGGAGACAATAATGATGTATACACAACCATGGGGGATGTCAGGATTTTGATGCTACTGTATTGCGAAGACGATGATAATGTCACTGTGACCGTGGGAGACGTTCAATATCTTGCCACTCTCGCAGAGCATGAAGATAAATGTTTCCGTGTTCGCGAAAAATTGTAGCGATGGTTCCGTGATCATGGAAAATTATATTAATTAATTATTAATTACCGCAGGAGACGATGATTGTGTCCACACGACTGTGGAATATATTTATCCCCTTGCCGAGATCGCGAAAAATGATGACAATGTTTCCGTGACTGCGGAAGACCATGATGATGTCAACAACAGCCGTGGGATATACTAATCCAGAATTTTGCCGTGATTGAGAAAAACGATGATGAGTTTACCGTGACCGCAGGAGATGATGATAGTGTCAACACGATCGCGAGACAGGTTTTGGATTTTGCCGCGATCCCAGCTTCTGCCTTTAATAACGATTCTCACTACTGTAGTTATAAATGTTTGGATTATTTCTGTAAGCAATTCGGGTGATCGGCGATTCGGATAGTTGTAGTTCGGATAATTGGAGTCCTGCTGTACCATAATAATATTGTCACTGATAGACGATGGAACAAGCAGTCTAATCACTGATCAGACCAAGTGAGGCCAGATTAGTGGGGTTCTACTGTAATATTATGGAAAATTACTTGACATTATTAGGCTCACAAGTCATCCAATGTAGTGCGAGTGTAGTTGAGTGGGACTACTAAGGGAACAGCCGCTGCACCTATGAACAATAGCTGGTTTGGGGCTCTGGCCTAATAATAAATTGTTGTTGGTTTGGGTCTACAATAAATTGTTCACGACAAAAACTTTGTTTGGAGTCTTAGACTTTGGTGGGAGGAAAACAAGTTTGTTCCCAGAAACATAAAAAACTATTTAAGAGGTTTGGAAAAGTGTTTGCTAATGGTCAGACATGTACTTAAATATGTTAGTTTTTATTCAGAAAAAGAAAAGTACACAATTCTATGAAAGAGTAGTTATTGACTGGCAACCGGCAAACATGTTACAAACTTCAGTAAGCTCTTTAACTGTTAGTTGGTCGGTTAAGAGAGGATCAACTGTTGTGTGTTAGAGTAGGTTGACATTAACAGTCAGTTGATGTAGACAATTTATTCAATTTTCAGGAATTCCTTTAAACTAATTGTACTGTAATTTTTTCTCAGGTTACTCTATGACCCTGCCCTACTTGCACGTTAAAATAAACCAATACAATAATCTTCAACTGTTAATTATCAAAAAAATCTGTTAACCAAATTAAATTTTTGTCCTTTGATCTATGAAGCAAATAATAACCTCTAATGGTTTTAGTTTGAGTCTAGATTAAAACACCTTTCTCCGATGGTTGTATTATACTTTTACTCTTAGTAAGAAGCAAATTTTCAAATATTTACTTCTAACTCATATTTTCTAAATTTAACACGAAAATTGTATTTTACTATAACATTTTAAAATTGCCTATTGTGATGGAATGGTAATACTGTTAAGTTTTGATCTTATCTAAAGTAATGCAACCTACCACGTGGGTGATTGAGTGCTGTGGGATTGCTTTTCCTTTTCATGACTGTATCCTTAGCGGGTGTGTTGAGACAACCCCTTTCACCACCCTCGTTTACTCGGAAAAAATGTCCATGCTTAAGAAATTTGGAACTTTTCTTTGTTTTTGCGTGTAGCATAGCTTAACCCACCGTTTGTCAACTCAAAAACCTGTATGCCTCTCACACTCCTCATATCTTAGTCTAAGCCCGAATCTAATTAATACTTTTAATCTGAAATGGCACTATAAGAATGTAGGTATTTTAAGCCAAGCATGAATGGAGATGAGGGTAGGATGAGTGAAGCGATCTTGTAGTCTTGTTAGTGACTAAAGCCAACATTTTTCCTTAGTCACAGCTGTTATAGCCCATACAGCAATGGCAACTAAGGGACCTACATTTTGTAGTGGAATCCGAATCACATGTTTTCCTTTTAATTAACAAATTGGTCTAATTATCAGGATAGTACTGTGGATAGTCGTAGTACTCACTGGTACGGATGTTAATCCACACCAGGTAGTATCGCATCCACAGTGAATGCCTATAAATATCCACAATTTGTGACCTCCTAGTAGCTGGATTACAGGATGATGCCACTGTCCCAGCGCTGGGGCCAGCAGAATTATCAGCGATTACACGGAACTCGTACTGTTGTCCTTATGAAAAATCTGGCACAGTTGCCTGAAAAATATAAATGGCCCTGAAATAATTGTTACGTATTGATTTGTATGACAAAATATTATTAGCAAAATGAAAAGACTACATGTACAACATAATTTTAAATAGTATTTGTTGATTGATGGATTAATTGTGTAAAGGTTTCTTTTACAATAAGTGAAACTGTTACAATTACAAATACTAAGAGACTTGCATGATTATGCTTCCAGATAACGTCAAAAGCTAGAACGCAAAAGATAATTAAACAGTACAAAATTTTGTATCAAAATTTGAGTATTGTTTTTGAAATTTGTGTAGGCCTACTTATTTTATTAATAAGGCAATTAAGTATTTTTAAATTATGAAAACTGTACTTTCAAGTTTTTAGTGTTCCAATATACAGTAGTAATATTATTACTATGCTTTGAATTATTTCCTGGGTTATCAGACCCTTTTGCTTGTAGAATTATGGTGCAGTTCGTTTAGGTTTAGGTTGGATATTCATTTCGTATGATTTTCATTTTCTAATAACAAGGTTGGTAGTGGGATTTTGAGTTAAGTTTAGACTACAGTCCCGACTAATCCTAACCACCAGTTGGAAAAATGACTCCTACATACATTAATACCCACACTGAAGCGATTCAGCAGACTAAGCAAATATCCGTTTGCCTGATTGGGGGTTCAGTGAATGTTTCTTAAATAATGTCAAGTTTATTCCTTATTTAAATTACATTTGGATTTAACGAGTACTTAGGTTTTGTGCTACAGTACTGGGAAAGTAATAAAGTGTGTTTTAGGGAATTTCCCTTTTTTAGAAAATAAGCTATTACCGTAGTTCTCATGGTAAGACCTAGACATGTTAATTGTACATAAATTCAACACCCGTTTAAGTTCATATACAGGGTGTCCCGGAACTCTCTACCAAAATCTTAGGCATTGTTCCAGAGTAAGAAACATATCTAAATATCATATTTAAATTGTCCGGAAGTCCTAAGTATCTCACAAAGCCGTCATTTTGTTTTTTCACTTATTAATTTTTTTCTAAATAATGTTTAAACATACGAAATTGAAACTTTGCACAAGCATTTATAACAACTAAACAAAACTACCTACCAAAAATTGATAACAATGTTTCAAATTCATAAAACAAAATGGCGACTATTTAAAATTTTGTTTCTTAAATAACTCAAAAACCGTTGATTTTGAAAAAATTGTACAAGGGTAATTTTTTTGGCAATTTCATTACTAACCGATTTCCACCTTATTCTATAAGTTTGGACGAATATTAACTGAGATATGTTAGCTTTAGTGATACGTTACCGCTTCCAGCATGCGCTGCAACTAACCTCCAGCGGTCACGTATCACTAAAGCTGCCATATTTCAGTTGATATTCGTCTAATCTTAAAAAATAAGGTGTCAATCGATTTGTAATGAAATTGCCTTAAAAAAGATATCCTTGTAATTTTTATTAAAAACAACGGTTTTTGAGTTATTTAAGAAACAAAACTTTATATGGCCGCCATTGTGTTTTATGAATTTGAAAAGTTGTCATAATTTTTGGGTAGCTTTGTCTAGTGGTCATAAATGTTTGTGCAAAGTTTCAATTTCTTATGTTTAACCTTTCTTTAGAAAAAAATATTAGGTTAAAAAAAATCTGTGTAAGTAACTAAGGACTTCCGGACAATTTACGAGGCATGTTTTTTAAGTAAGTACCGTTTTTAAATTTCTCCGTTCCAGCCCTGCGATTGGCATTTTGGACATTTGCGCTGTGTATGTGCATCTATTGGCAAGCCCTAGCCAGAAATTCGACAACAATTGGCCGTGTATACTTCCGGTTTCGAGCATTCAAAATGGTGCCAATTGAGGCTGCCGCCGACTGTG